AAATACGTTTTAAGTGTCTGAAGCGCTGGGCTGGAAAACTAGATCCCTTAACTAAATATTTTTCTTGAGTTGAGATGAAGAGTATTATCTTACAATAGAATGAAAATGAAATGTTCTATCTATGATTTATTTTACTTTAACTGGCTTTCAGTGATAGGAAAATAATTTTATCAGTTAACCAAGTTCTGTCTTCCAAAAGTTGTTCTAGGAACTCTGCATATATTATTTAGTTTTTATAATAAACCCAAGGAAAGTCGTAGGTTTATTTAGTTTGATTTCATAGAAGGTGACCTAAGCTTTCGGAGAGAACATTCGGCTGTCCCAGACTCCCACAGCTAACAAACAGTAGGACTGGGGTTTGAACACAGATCTAAGAAGCAAAGCCTTTGTGTCTGTATCCAGTCCATCCACTTTCTGGTTCCATTTCAGGGAACTCTCACCTCTCAACTGAGATGCCAGAATTGCCTCTTAACCAGTCACCTTGCATCTACTCTTGCTTCCTCTAAAATCTCTTTTCCACATTGTACCTAGAGAAATCTTTTTAAAATACAAACTTTGATCTAACAAATGTCTCCTCCACTTCTTTATACACGTTCACTTTGACCTTTAGTGTCTTCCTCTTGCCTTTGGGATGAAGACAGAAACCCGTTACATGCCTACGAAGTCCCTGGTCTCTCCCGCCTGGTCCTGTAACCTCATCTTTGGTGCTCCCTCCTGTTGTTTACCCCAGCCCTTTCCTGGAATATGGTGTGCTCTCCCCTGCTGGAGGCCCTTGACATGTACTTCCTTCTGCCTGGAAAGGTCATGTCTCCCTTCACCTACCTCATTCTTTCCCAGCTTTTTATACCCGGCTCAGCTGTCATTGCTTCAGAGTGACTTTGTCTTACTTCCCAGTGTACACTCTACTTGCACCATTTAGAGCACTCACTACAGTTATCATTTTACATTTCTCTGCATATTCTTTGATGAGTGCTCTTTTCTTCTGCACTGTAAGTATCGTGAGGACAGGAACCATTGTGTCTGCAGCACTGAGGCCAGTGCGTGGCATGTAGTCAGCATGCAGAGATGTCTTTGTGTTCACAGTTAAGTATGTAACAATGAGCCATGCTGTGGGGTGTTCTACTATATTTCTTCTCAGCTGTATTTCTCTAATATGGATAAAACATAATCATTTAGCTGTGTTATTTTTGAAACATCATCTTGGAAGGATTTTGATAATGCTTTGCAAACCTTCACTATTGTTATTTAAGGAGGCGAAAACTGCTGTATGCCTGATTGGCTCGAAGCCAAGCTTGTTGCTGTGATGGTCTTGCTGGCCATAGATGTGGAAGGAATGAAGAGTCAATATAGGTAAGTGTTTTTAAACTTGAAAAGAAAACTTTCTTTAAAAAAGGCTAATCAGATTTATGGTACATATTCAGACTTTTCAATGATTGGTATGGAATTGATCACAGTGTATTAAAGGAAGGAACTAGAACATTGGCAATATACTTTAAAAATGTTTAAAATTAACAATAAGTTCACAGGATTAGAGGTTTAAACTAGAGAAGGTCAAAAAAAAAAAAAAACTGTATACACGAATCACAGGTTTTGTATAAGAATATTAGAAGAATGGGTTGTAAGGTCCTAGCATAAGATTAGGTAAAGACATTTGCTGGATTTTACCCTTTTGTAAAATGTGTTATTTTTTTAAAAGGTAATTAAAGATAAAACAATCTCATTTATATTTTGAGAAACGTGAGCAGATCGTCACCAGATTATAATTGTTGGCAATAAGCAGCTTCATTTGGTAGTGTATGTATTTGCATGATAATACAATTAATTTGATTAACATCAAATCTCTTTTCTAGACAGAGTTTTAGTACTAAAGTTAGTGATAACAGTTTTCCACAAATCTTTAGTGCTTTATGTATTTTTTTGTTAACATGTCTCATTTCCTTGACTGGCATATATTTGTTTCGTTTTTTGGTTTTTTGAAATATGGAAGCGAAGTCTCAGCATTTTAATTTGCCAGTAAATTGGATATAGGATTTCATTCATACTGTGCCCAGAGTTGAGAACAGAGTTGTGTTTCTCCCTGTGCTTTCTTCTCGGGTGAATCGCTGAACTCACTGAAAAAGCACAAACAGAAAGGTCCATCCTAATAGGTTCTAGGTGTTTGGATCATCCCTAATAGTAATTCTGTCCAATGGAATCATTAGCTAACCAGTTCCACGACTGTAGATGGAAAACAGTTTCTTTATGCTTTTGAAATGCTTGATTTGGGCGTGTCTTTTAATGTCTAGTGAAAAGCGGAGGACACAGAATGTATTAAGGATATTCTTAGATCCTCTCCTGGATGCCCTTGTGAAGTTTGGTACAAATGCCTACATGCCCTTGCTGAAAACTGACAGATGCCTGCAGTTGCTGTTGAAGTTACTGCACACTTGCTTGTTGAAAGGTTCCGGTACCCAAGATGGTGAGGATCATTGGTTTCTGTTGGTGTTTTGCTGGATATATCGTTGGTACTCAGAATGAGAGGAAATTCCTGACCTTTTAACTTTGTGCATTCAACAGATATTTACTGAGTATCTCCTGTTGGTGCTGGGGATGCAGAGGCAAAGTAGCAAACTGCCCTCACCGAGCTGACATTTTAATGTTTACATTTGTTGCTCACTGTTGACTTTAGAATGTGCTTTCATTTGCTTTTGCTTTTTTTTTTTTTTTCCAATGGGCTCTCCTTGATTTCCAGACTATTGAAAATGATCACTGTTTCGTACATGTTTTAAGCCAAGATCCATTTCTAATTGCCACTGTGCTGCTGGATGTTGCAGAAAGTAAAGCATGAGAATAGCAATAATTTTATAATTATTTGTTTTTAAATATGTTCATCCCTCAGCACCTCTAAGTAGAAAATACTTCATCCAGGAGTACAGTGGTGGTAGATGGAAGCATTGAGCACTTTCTTCATTCCTTAAACTGAGATTTAGATAAAACAGTAGTTGAAAACCCATGGACATCAGATATGAGAATATCGATGGGTAAGCCTTGATTCCCAATCTTTCTGACCAGTTTCATTTGGAATTTGAGAAATTTTCTATTTAGAAAAGAGTATTTTAGAGAAGCATTGGTATTAGGTTAAACCTGAGGGTAATATGAAAGTTTAGATTTTAAGGTAGAGGCTTGTGAAATATTAAAGCTTGTTTCCAAGTTCTGGTATTTTTGGTAATGGTAGCAGAACGGAATGCTGGACACGTAACAGTAACTTTTTATAAGACTTTTAACTCCTTTAAGGGCATAAATTTGGGTTCATTTGACATGTCTTGACTGTTGAAAGCACAAGACTCAGTGCCTTCAAGTGCAGGGCTGGGTTACAGGTACCTTTTGGAAAATTTTTGTGATACTTGATACACACAAGAACGTGTGATGCTTATATGTAATTATGATGCAAAATAATTGAATAAACACCCGTGAACGCACCACCATGGCATTGGTTGCTAAGAAGGAATTTACCTATGACTCCTCAGTCCCTGCCTTTTGCCTCCTTATTTTGACTTTTATCTGTATCACTTCCACACACTTAAAAAATGGTTTTACCACATACATCGATGCTCCTCAGCAATACATTGTCTCATTTTCCTGCTTTTGAGCTTTATAGAAATGTTACTTTACTGTAAGAAGCCTTCTGTAACTTTTTCACTTAGCGGGTTTCTAAGAATCATCTATGCGTGTCCTTTCTTACACTTCCGCATTTTCCCCGTTGTGTTACCTTCCATCGTGTGATGACACCACAGTTATGCGTTCTTCTATTGCTGGACACTGGATTGCATTTCGTCTGCTACTGTTGTGTACAGTGCTGTCTTGAACACTTGTCTCCGTGTCTCTTCTAGGCCTGTGTCTCTCCAGGGCCCATGCGTGCCCCTGGGGCCAAAGTGGCCGGTTCTTAGAGTATGTGCATATTCAGCTTTTAAGATAATGGAAAATTGTTTTTCTAAGTAGTTGTGTACACGTTTTATGTTCTCATCTGCAGAATGTAAGTTCCCATCGATGCTCCTGCATCTCTCATTCTACTACAAGTAAGAGCCGAAGAAATCAGTGTGTAATTTTGCTGGTAGTTGACTTCCAGATAATTGGTAAACCATAATAAGCTTAATATTAACTTTGTTTTTTTAATTGAAGTATAGCTGTTCACACTGTTGTGTTAATTTCTGCTGTACAGTAAGTGATTCAGTTATACTTATATTTACCTTTTGTTAATATTCTTCTCCATTATGGTTTATCATAGGATATTGAATATAGGTCTCTGTGCTATACAGTAGGACCTTGTTGTTTATCCATTCTATATGTAATAGCTTACATCTGCTAATTTAGATCTACTTAACTAACTGTAAATAGATCTAAATCCTGAAAGGATTTCTTTGATGGGGGAAGAGGAAAAGAGTTTTTCCATTTTATAAATGAGTAAATAATCTAGGATTAACTACTAGTACAAGGGTCAATGAACACATAACGGTAAAGTCAGAAATAACTAGGTACAGTCAGCCATCTGTATTTATGAATTCAACCAACCATGGGCTGAAAATATTCAGGGGAAAGATTCCAGAAGGTTCCAAAAAGCAAAACTTGAATTTGCTGTGCTCCAGCAACTATTTACATTGTATTTACAGCTATTTATATAGTATATACAAGGATACTTGGCTAAGCCTGGGTCTGCTGCAGAAGGGAAGACGTGTAAAATTAAAACATACTCTTGGGAAATGCAAACACGTTTTCACCTACTTATGAGCAATAATGGCTTATGTGGGAAAACCCATTTTACTTAAAACTCCCCCAAAGATGTCCTGAGATGTTCAAAATAAACTAAAGCCTAATTCATAACTTTGGTTAAATGGTCTTTGCTGCTTCTGTCAGCTTAAAGCTCTAAATAAGTGATGTTCCAGTGGTTATTTTTTTTTAATTCAGAATAACTGTACAATGTTTATTTTAATATTTGAGGAAACGTGCTTACAGTTACACTGTAACTCTCCCTTTGTTGCATTGGATTATATGGGTCAAAGTAACTGGCCTAATCACACTTCTTCTGTCCTAACTACTTGCTGAATGTGTCACAATATCCACATATGAGAGATTGGATTGGCCAAAAATTTCGTTCGGTTTTTGCACTACCATCTTATGGAAAAACCCAAATGAACTTTTGGCCAACCCAATACATGTGGATATATCCACATACAATATCTACGTGTAATCCTTGTTGCTGTCCCTTTTTTCCTGAGTTGCTTTTGTTTTCTGGCCTTGATCGTTTGTGTCTCTTTAAACTTTTCTTCCTGAGGTAGGTTTTATTTTTTAAAAATTGTGGCAAAATATACATAACAAAATGTACACGTTAACCGTTTTTTTTTCCTTTAACATCTTTACTGGACTAGAATTGCTTTACGGTGTTGTGTTAGTTGCTGCTGTATAACAGAGTGAATCAGCTGTATGCGTACATATATCCCCATATCCCCTCCCTCTTGCTTCTTCCTCTGACCCTCCTTCTCCCACCCCCTAGGTGGTAGCAAAGCAGTGAGCAGATCTCCCTGTGCTATGCAGTTGCCTCCCACTAGCTATCTGTTTCACATTTGGTAGTGTATATATGTCAATGTTACTCTCTCACTGCGTCCCAGCTTACCCTTCCGAACCCTCCCCTTGTCCTCAAGTCCATTCTCTACGTCTCCATCTTTATTCCTGTCCTGCCCATAGGTTCTTCAGGACCGTTTTTTTTTTTTTTTACATACATTCCGTCTATATGTTTTAGCATACAGTATTTGTTTTTCTCTTTCTGACTTACTTCACTCTCTATGACAGACTCTAGGTCCATCCACCTCACTACGAATAACTCAATTTCATTTCTTTTTATGGCTGAGTAATATTCCATCGTATATATGGGCCACATCTTCTTTAGCCATTCATCTGTCAATGGACACTTCCATGTCCTGGCTATTGTAAATAGTGCTGCAGTGAACATTGTGGTACATGACTCTTTTTGAATTATGGTTTTCTCAGGGTGTATGCCCAGGAGTGGGATTGCTGGGTCATAGGGTAGTTCTATTTTTAATTTTTAAGGAACCCGTATACTGTTCTCCATAGTGGCTGTATCAATTTACATTCCCACCAACAGTGCAGAGGGTTCCCTTTTCTCCATACCCTCTCCAGCATTTATTGTTTGTAGATTTTTTGATGATGGCCTTTCTGACCGGTGTGAGGTGATACCTCATTGTAGTTTTGATTTGCATTTCTCTAATGATTAGTGATATTGAGCATCTTTTCATGTGTTTGTTGGCAATCTGTATATCTTCTTTGGAGAAATGTCTATTTAGGTCTTCTGCTCGTTTTTGGATTGGGTTTTTTGTTTTTTTGACATTGAATTGCATGAGTTGCTTGTATATTTTGGAGATTAATCCTTTGTCAGTTGCTTCGTTTGCAAATATTTTCTCCCATTCTGAGGGTTGCCTTTTGGTCTTGTTTATGGTTTCCTTTGCTGTGCAAAGCTTTTAAGTTTCCTTAGGTCCCATTTGTTTATTTTTGTTTTTATTTCCATTTCTCTAGGAGGTGGGTCAAAAAGGATCTTGCTGTGATTTATGTCGTAGAGTGTTCTGCCTATGTTTTCCTCTAAGAGTTTGATAGTGTCTGGCCTTACATTTAGGGCTTTAATCCATTTTGAGTTATATTTTTGTGTATGGTGGTAGGAAGTGTTCTAATTTCATTCTTTCACATGTAGCTGTCCAGTTTTCCCAGCACCACTTATTGAAGAGGCTGGCTTTTCTCCATTGTGTACTCTTGCCTCCTTTATCAAAGATAAGGTGACCATATGTGCATGGGTGTATCTCTGGGCTTTCTGTCCTGTTCCATTGATCTATCTTTCTGTTTTTGTGCCAGTGCCATACTGTCTTGATTACTGTAGCTTTGTAGTATAGTCTGAAATCTGGGAGCCTGATCCCTTCAGCTCCGTTTTTCTTTCTCAAGATTGCTTTGGCTATTCAGGGTCTTTTGTGTTTCCATACAAATTGTGCAGTTTTTTTGTTCTGATTCTGTGAAAAATGCCATTGGTATTTTGATAGGGATTGCATTGAATCTGTAGATTGCTTTGGATGGTATAGTCATTTCCAGAATGTTGATTCTTCCAATCCAAGAACATGGTATATCTCTCCGTCTATTTGTGTCATCTTTAATTTTTTTCATCAGTGTCTTATAGTTTTCTGCATACAGATCTTTTGTCTCCTTAGATAGGTTTATTCCTAGGTATTTTATTCTTTTTGTTGCAGTGGTAAATGGGAGTGTCTGTACTAGACACGATTAAATTATACACTTTTAATGGGTGAATTGTAAGATATGTGATTTATAGCTCAATAATTTATTGACCATATTTATATGGATCTATTTCTGGATTCTTCTGATCTGTATTTTTATCCCTTTGCCAGTACTGTACTATTTTGGTTACTGTAGATTTACAGTAAGTCTCTAAATAGGTATTGTGATCCTTTCAGATTTATTCTTCTTTGTCAAAAATATTTCTAGCTATTCTAGCTCCTTTGCCTTCCAATATCAACTTTATAATCAGCTTGTTTGCATTTACCAAAAAAAAAAACAATCCTGCTGGGATTGATTGGAATTGCATTAAATCTACAGATCAATTTTTTTAGAATTGCCTTCTTTATTATATTGAGGCTTTTAATTCATGAATATGGTACGTCTCTTGATTTATTTAGGCTGTCTTTTATTTCTTCCATCAGAGTTTTTTAGCTCTCAGCATATAGATCCTGTGCCGGTTTTGTTAGATTTATATCTTTTGGAGGAAGATTGTTGTAAATGATACATTTAAAAATGTTTTGGTTTTCAGTTGTGCGTTGCTAGTATATAGAAATGTGATTGATTTTTGTGTGTTGACATTGTATACTGTAACCTTACTGAAGCACTTATTAGTTGTAGCAGTTTTTTTAATAGGTCCTTGGGATATTTTGGTAGACAGTGATGTCATTTCTGAATGAGGACAGTTGTATTTGTAGAGTTGTGCATAGTGCTCCCTTATGCTTTAAATGCCTGCAGGATCTGGGGCCTGACGTAATTCCTTTGTAACTCCTGATAGTGGCAGTGCTCTCTCTCTGTCTCTCTCAGACTGGCTAGTGGTTTATCAATTTTATTGACCTTTTCAAAGAACCAACTTTTGGTTTCATTGAATTTTCTCTGTTGATTTTTCTCTTTTCAATTTCATTGACTTCTGGGTTTTTATGTTTATGTCTTTGTGCTTACTTTTGGTTTATTTTGCCTTTTTATTGACATTTAGGTGGAAGCTTAAATCATTGATTTTAGATCTCTCTTTTAAAATGACATTTAATGCTATGAATTTTCTTAAGTTTTGTTTTAACTGCATCCCACAAATTTTGGTATGTTGTATTTTCAGTTAAGAATATTTTCTGATCTTTTTTTTGAGACTTTCTTTTACCCGTGAATTATTTGCAAATGTATTTAGAGATTTTTCTGTTGTCTTTCTGTTATTGCTTTTTAATTTAATTTTGTTCTAGTCAAAAGAGCATACTTTGTACAATTACAACTTTTAAAATGTTGTAGGTTTATTTAATGATCTAGGTATGGTTTATTTTGGTGACTATTCCATGTACACTTGAAAAGAGTATGTGTTCTGCTGCTGTTGGGGGGAGTGTTCTATAAATGTCCATTGTATTCAAGAGCTTCACGGTGTTTTTCAGTTTTGTATTCTTGCAGATTTTAGGATTGTTGAACCCAACTATGATTACGGACTTATCTCTTACTCTAGGGATTATGATGTACATACTTTTTACAGTCAGCTTAGAATTAATATTTTACCACTTAAAATTAACATAGAAATGTTACTACCTTATAGGTCCCTTAACCTCCTCTCCCCCATTTATTACAGATATCTTACATTTACTCTTGTTGAAAATCCTACTGGACAATGTTATGTTTTTTGCTGTCAACCATCGAACACATTTTAAAGACTCAAGAGAAGAGTCTGTTGTATTTACAGTTTCTTTTGCTCTTTTCATCCCTGACATTCCGTGTTTTCCGGTGGCATTGTATACCGTTTGTTCGAAAAATGTCTTTTAACATTTCTTTTGTAGCAAGTTTCTTGGCAATGAATTCTCATAGTTTCCCTTCATCTGAGAATGTCTTTATTTTGCGTTCTGAGTAATATTTTTGTTGGATATAAAATTCTGGTTTGATAGGTCTTTTCTTTCAGCAATTTAAAAGTGTTCCATTTGCTTCTGGCCTCCATGATTTCTCAGTAGAACTCTGTAGTCATTCACATTGTTTTTCCCCCAGGTAATAAGTTGTTTCTCTGTGCTTTCAAGATTGTTTCTTTGTTTTCGGTTGTCAGCAGTTTGGCTATACCGTGTCAGATTGCATATTTTATTGATTTGTTTTTAAGTGCACTGATTCTTTTCTCTTGCATCTCCTTTCTATTAATCCCATCCAGTGAGTTTTTAAATTTTCAGTTATTGTACTTTCAGTGATAAAATCTCTGTTTGGTTTTTGTGTATATCTTCTGTTTCTTTCCTGAGACTTTCTGGTTTTCCATTTGTTTCAAGAGTGTGTGTTGATTGATTGTTGAAGCATTTTTTAATAGCTGCTTTAAAGTCTTGGTCAGGTTATTCTTAAATCACCATCATCTTGGTGTTTTCATTCATAGATTCTTTTCCCATGTGAGATAGGGAATAGCTCACACTTCATATACCCAGTTATTTTCGATTGGATCCTAGATATTTTGAATATTGTGTTGTGAGACCCTGGATCTTGGTCAGATCCTGTGGACGGTGTTGATATTTTTGTGTAGCAGACAATCAGCCTGGCTTGGTTTAGGCCTCAATTCCTGATGTTCCGGCTTTTGTGGGTGCTGGTTCCACTGTCGGTTTTGTTTTCATGTCCTTTGCAGTGCTATCTTGACCTGTGCCCCATGTATTCCATCCGGTGGTCAGGCTGGGACGTGTGCAGTTGTCTGTTAGTTCCGTTCTGAAAGTCTTTGATGTGCTGAATAGTATCACATCCAGGCCTAGCAGTTCAGGGGTGAGCCCAGCACTTCATAAGCCACTTGTTGGGGCCATTTTCCTGAGCGCCTCCCTCTCTGGAATCTCCTAAGTACTCACCATCCGGTTCTCTGAGATTCTCCTTTTTCATTCCCTGACCAGAAGGTGGGCGCCCAGTCTGCTGCCCACTTTCTTGACTTATCTGCCACCTGGGTCCAGTCTGTAGGGGGACAGGAGCAAACTCACCGCTGTTCAGGGTTACTTCTTTCTGAATCCATCTGCTGCTTTTTGCCTTTCAGAGTCTTCAAATGGCTGTTTCGAATATTCCATCCAGGTTTTGTAGCTGAATTCAGTGAGAGAGGGCAGTGTGTCTTTGTTGCATCTTGTCCAGAACTAAAACGCCTAAATGATTTTTAAGATTAATTGTAGATATCCCCATGGTATTAATGACTATTATATTGTTAGAATTCATTTTTGGTAAGTGATTCACGTATATGCTTAACGTAGGTGAGCTTTTACTAGACTGTCAGGTGTATTTTGTACCAAATAAACTTATTTCTCTCATTTTAGTTGCGCATACAGACGAGGTGTTTACTCTACTTCAGAACTTTGTCATGTCTACCACAGAGAGCGTTTCGGAATTTATTCTCAGAAGACTTACTATGAAGGAACTAAGTAGTGTAAGTATGTACTGGAGTAACTTTTCAGTCTTTTCATCAATATTTTGAGTGATTACTGACTGGCAGGCACTGTATTAAGTTGAAAATTAACGTGATAGTTTCTCAAAAAGCGGCCTTTGGGAGCAGAAAAAGATATAAGCTTTAGGGCTTCCCTGGTGGCGCAGTGGTTGAGAGTCCGCCTGCCGATGCAGGGGTTCGTGCCCCGGTCTGGGAAGATCCCACATGCCGCGGAGCGGCTGGGCCCGTGAGCCATGGCCGCCGAGCCTGTGCGTCCGGAGCCTGTGCTCCGCAACGGGAGAGGCCACAGCGGTGAGAGGCCCGCATAACACACACACACACACACACACACACACACACACACACACACACTCACTCACAATATATATATATATCTATAGATAGATAGATAGATAGATATGTATAAGCTTTGGAGTCTCCTATTTCCAGTTCAGTCTGTGTAACTGACCTTGGGAAAGTTGTAGCTTTTCTGAGTCTCAGTTTCCTCATCTGCAAAGTGGAGATAATACATCTGCTTATTAGGGCTTAGAGAATGTCAGATGGTAAAACACGTTTGAAGTACTTAGCATATTGAATGCTTATTTGGTCCCAGTATCGGGAGATTCTGACTTGGCAATTTTGGGATGGGATCAGGTATCAGTACACAGATATTTTTTAAGCTCTGTACGTGATCCTGAAATGCAATTGGAGTTAGGAACAATTGATCTGAGGTAAAGAAGGTGCTCCGTGAACATAGCTATCTTCTCTGTCTCTACTCTCCACACACTTTGTTCTTTCTAGGACATCTGAAAAAAAAGTTTTCTCCCTTTCTTCAAGAATATTTTGAAAATATCAATTTTATAGAAATGCCTATTCTTAATTTGGGGGGGTTTGAAATCTCTAGGGACAAATGTTGAAGCAATTACAATCATTAGATCGTCAATAGAGTGAGAAAACATACTTATTTTAACAACTTTTATTGGAATATCCAATTAAGGACATTTGTTTGATAGCTGATAAGCAAGTGTGAAAATATAAAAAGAATATAGAAAGACTTGAGTTATTGTGATAAGAAGGCAAAGAAAAAATCCTCTGGAGGGGGGAGTGTTTCTCTTTTGCATTTCTCTTAAACAATTGTTAATAGTAGTTTTGCTACACCTACATTTCCAAGAAGGCATTTAATTAAGGTGTAACTTTTCTTGTTTTGTTCCAATATTGCTTTCTTGTTGTCAGTATTACTTTCCCGTTTTATTGTGGAAGTTTTCAGACATACACAAAAGAAGTATAGTGAACCCCCGTGTACCCGTTATATAACATAAATGTTTTCGTTTGTTTGGAATTTGGAGCTAAAATTTGCTTTAAAAAGGGAAAGGTTAGGGCTTCCCTGGTGGCGCAGTGGTTGGGAGTCCGCCTGCCGATGCAGGGGACACGGGTTCGTGCCCCGGTCCGGGAAGATCCCACATGCTGTGGAGCGGCTGGGCCCGTGAGCCGTGGCCGCTGGGCCTGCGCGTCCGGAGCCTGTGCTCTGCAACGGGAGAGGCCACAACAGTGAGAGAGGCCCGCATACCGCAAAAAAAGAAAAAAGGGGGGGGGAGATTAATGTGATTTTATCCTTCAGATGGAAGGATTTTTAAAAGTAAACTCATCATATAATGGTTTAAAATTATTTTGAAAAATCCACTCTTTAATACATTAGGTATTAGAATTCCCAATTAAGCACATTTGTTTGGTAGCTTATTAGAGTTTAATAAAAATCTCTTCCCCCATTTTCCTTCCCCTCAGCAGCATGATGGTCAGTATTTAACAACTGGCTCTTGGGGGAAAAGCCCTGATTTGTAGTGTTTATTAGTTTCCGTGGTTGATTTCAAGCTACCCGCACGGGGCCATGAATCAGGGAGAGATGAACCGTCCCCCTCACTTCACAGAGGAAACAGCAGCCTCAGCCGGCGTCACCCCCGCTTCAGACTGCCCGGTGTCTGCCTCACCCACCCCTGAATCCATCCTCCCGGAGCCTTCCCTCCCTTACAAGAGAGGAAGGCGGTCTGGACCTCATCCCCTCCCATTTGCTCAGCAACTTTACCCTGTTGATCAGCGTCTCTTCTTGTATTTCTCACCTCTCCTTTCCTCCTGGATTCTTTCCGTGAGCGCTGAAAGAGCTTTAAGGGTCCCTCATCTAACAAGAACCTGCTCAATTCCGCGTTCCTTCTGGTGCCCTGTTTCCTTCCCTTTGTGAGCTGGTCTGTAAACAAACCCCTCAGCTCCTGTGAGGAGAAGTGGCTCCTTTGTCCTGCACCTGGCGATGCTTTTCAGACCGTGTTTCTCTTGACCCCCTCAGCCCCAGTGGACACTGTTGTTGCTTCCGCCTTGAAACGCTGGTGTTTATGACATCATCCTCCTGCTGTTTCCCATCCCTCTGGCCGTTACTCCCACGAATGTCCATTCTCTGCTGCGTAGCCTTGGAAGTCAGAGTTTTTCAGGTTGGCCCGGGCCCCTCCTTTTCTCATTCTCTCCTGTCTAGGTGACCTCACCGGCATCCCCAGCTTTAGTTATGCCAGGGACCCTCAGATCCGCACATTCGTTTCTACCTCAGACTGACCTTCTGAGGTGAACGCCCATTCAGCCAATTGCTGTTTGACAACTTGGGTTGAATTTCCCCCATATACACTATTTAAAACTGAATTCCTTATCGTTCCTGCAGGAGGTTATCTGCCTTCCCCCGCCCCAGGTTCCCTTCTCGGTGGATGTACATGATCCAGCCGGTTTCTTCAAGCCTAAAACTTGGGAATCCTGGCAGCTTTATCCCTCACTCTCACCCCCTGTGTTCAGTCTTGGCACCAAGCCCTGGTGTTGTTTCCTTCTCTCTGCATTGTATCCTAGCGCTCGGCAAAGCACCTGACATCTAAGCGTTGCTCAGTAAAAACTGATAAACTGAATGAATTCTGTGCTTCCTGTGTGCCACGGAAGCCTGAGGGTAGAGTAATTGGCACAGCGATAATAAGCAAGGCTACCACTCAGGGCCAGTCCCTTCAGAATGCTTTCTCTCACTTAATTCTTTCAACAAAAACCCTGTGACGGAGAGATACTACCCTCCCCATTTTACGGGTAAGGAATCTGAGGCCCAAAGTGGTTAGGTCACTTGCAGTAGGTCACAGAGCTGGTGATGATAGAGCTGGACCGAACCCAGTCTGCCTGTGTCTATGAGTCGAGAAGCCCTGCCTTTAATTCTGTCCCCTTCCCAGCCCCCCATCCCGCTTACTAGCTCTGATATGCTGGGTAAGTTGTTTAACCTCTCTGAACTTTGGAAAGTGGGACAGTGACCATTCCTTGTGAGAATGGAGTATTACAACTGCCTGAAGCAAAGGAAGTGGCAGTGGCAGTTGCTATACTTGTTATTGTGATTATTTATGATGTGTTAGCCTGGGATGCAAGAATTGGTAGAACATAGTTTCTGACTTCCAGGGTCTCATGATCAAGGTGGGGAGCCAGCTGAGTAAGTCGTGCTGAATGCAAAGTCACCGTCTAAGCACAGAGGAGGACGTGCTTAGCTCTGCCTGGGGAGTTGATGGAAGGCTTCTTGGAAGAGATGACTTCTCTCATCAATGTCGTCTTTCAGTACTTTTAGATAAACTAATTTATTTCCTGCCTGAACTCTCATAGCTTTGTGAAAATCATGAACCTTGCTTGTTAAGTGTCTTATTGTTTCTCTTAGGTTTCAGATCTGGATCGTTGCCATTTGTACCTGATGGTATTAACTGAACTTACAAATCTCCACCTGAAGGTTGGCTGGAAAAGAGGCAACCCTATTTGGAGAGTTATTTCTCCTTTGAAAAACGCATCCATTCGGCATCTTCAAGAGATGGACCGTGGACAGGTAGGTAATCCTCTTTGCTTCAAGGCTTGTAATTATGTTGAGTAAGGCATACACAGAATACGTATTTGACTATTAGACAATATTTTGATACATAAAAAGCATCTGCTGAAATTTAATTTTGAAAATAATATCCCTTGTTCAACATATTTGATGAAGATTGGGACTCCTGTCATAATATTAGATACATAATAAAGGTGTGGTGACTGCAATCGTAAAATCATTTACATACAGATAGTGGATTTTCACTAGGTCTTTTGCCTGGGTACCAGTAAGGGACATTTTAATGTGTCCAAATTCACCAGTCCAGTGTCCAGAGCCTCCATGCTTGGATTTCTACCTCATTTTCTAGCCCAGTTCACAGCATCTCCCCTTCCTTTCCACAGAGCCCCCTATGCTGCAGTCGCGCTAGGCCACCATAGGGAGCGTCACAGATCACAGCACATGCCATATCCTGCCTCATCTGGGCTTTCATAGTGTCTGGTCCTTCCACTGAGAACGCCTTCCCCTCAACATACACTTGTCAGTATCTGGTGCCTCCTTTTCGTCCCAGCTCAAGTTACATTTTCTCTTAAATGAAATTTGATCAGTGTTGCTCTTTATGCCTCCATTTTTGTGTTTTTTCCCATCTTACTTGTTTTGGGAATAATTTACGTGTCTATGTCTTCTCCACTAGATTTCAGTACCTAGAGGCATTTCTGAAACATGATATAATAAGGCATAGTGGTTATGAGCACAGGCTTTGGAGTTAGACTTCCTGGTTCTGAATCCTGGCTTTATCTTTACTAGCTGTGTGACCTTGGGGAACTTACTTAACCTCTCTGTGCTTCATTTACTGCACCTGCGAAATAAGGGTTATAAGGTTGATGTGAGAATTAAAGCAAGCTCACGCATGGTAAACCTTTAGAACAGTACCTGGCACATAGAGAGTCCTCAGTAAATGTTAGCTGTTTTCACTTAACACACATGGTAAGGGTTTTAAAAATTTGAGTTGAATCATAGTCTAGTCTGGGCTGCTAATTAAAATAGCTACTTGATTGATTTAATAATCTAATTTTTAAAGTAGTTTTCGAGAACTGTATGAAAAGAAAATTATAAGGAGGATGATTAATATTTCAGCATCATGTCTACTGCATATTAGTGTTACAAAAGGACATTGTGAGTTTTGAATGTAGGCCAGAATTGTGAACCATACCACAGTGATTTTTAAAGATTGGCTTCCTTCCTTTACTAATTTACTGAATTACTTTAAGGTTAATAGGGACCGTATTGGCTCAAAAGTAGCCCTAAATTTTATTTCCTGTATTGGCAGTGTTGCTAAGTAAAATTTATCTGCAGAGATACTTGATTTTCTGTGGTGGTGGTGAGGGAAGGTATGAAATAAGTAGTAGAAGGTTCCTTTCTGTAGAGATGTTACTGGTGGGCGGTATTTGGGAGAACTGCTTTGGTCTCTCAGGGAAGTACTTTCCCTATCTAGGTTCTTACCTGCACTCCTGGCTTCTTGGTTGAGATTATTGACTTTCTCTCTGTAAGAACAAAGCCAGGCTGTCTTGGTTTCCTCCTTTCCGCTCCTACCTGTAGAATTCCAAGTGCTTTACGTGAAATAACCGATTTATTTAATCTTCACAATAGTCCTGTGAAGTAGATTCTGTTACTGTCCCCATCTTACAGATGAGTAAACCAAGGTGTAGTGTGTCCACAGTCAACTGGTGGTAAGTGCAGAGCCAGGGTCCAGACCTAGGCCATGTGGTTCGAGTCCAGCTCTTAACTGCTGTGCTGTGTCACCAAAAGCAGCATACAGCTGACTGAAGGAGTTGTTTATATATATGCCAGGAGTCTTTTTTTTTTTTTAAGTCTACTTTAGCCAAACAGTTGAAATAAGACTCACCCATAGGAACTTTGTATCCAAGTTGTCTTTTAGTCTGAATTGCTGAATTTTTATTGCCACTTTGTTTGCCACCAATCTGTACAGAAATGGTAAAGAGTGACGTATATTGGATTTCCTTTTATTTCCTCTGATATTCAGTAGCAGGCACAAAGAGGGAAAGGAGGGCTGAGATTCCCATAGACTGGGAGCTCAGGTCCTTATTGGTTAGGATTTGCTTATGTTCAATAAAAGATTGTCCCATTTCCTCCCCAGGAACCGACACTGGGTAGACAGATTCAGAGAGTTGTTAGTATGGCTGCCCTGGCCATGGTGTGTGAGGCCATTGACCAGAAGCCAGAGCTACAGCTGGACTCTCAGGATGCGGGAGCCACAGAAAGGTTCCTCTCCTCTCTCCAGCTCAATCAGACGCTGCAGAAGCCCCACACAGAGGAGGACAGCAGGTGTGTTCACCCCTTGGAGAGAAGCATATACGAAAGGCATCTTTTTTTGCTAATGTTTAAAAATCCATTTTTGTTTGAGTCATTGAGATAATTAGTGATTCCTCAACCTTACGGAAAGGGTTATGGAAGCTTCAAGATGAGGCTTCATTCAGGATGATAACATATTATCAAATTATTCATCCCTATTACAGGAAAAACCCATTAACTTTTCTGCGTTTAGTTTTCAGTGAATCATTTAAAGTGAGTGCAAGTACCTACTTTCAGTGTAGTTAGGAAATTGAGGTTTGTGTGGTTTCCTCATTTATTGGTAGACAGGATATTTAATAATGACTGTTTAATTTCTCCCCTTGTAAGGATAGTGTACTACCACATGCAAAAGAAATTGAGACAGACTTAAAGAAGGATGGGGTAGTGACTTTCTTTTTTGTCTCAGTTTTTTTGAAGAGTCATCATCTTCCCAAGGATGGGGGAGAATAGTTGCACAATATATTCATGATCAGTGGGTCTGCCTCTCTTTCTTGTTGAAAAAATATCACACCCTTATACCAGCCTCAGAGGATGAAATTCTGGAACCCATTCTACCTGCTGTGCAAATGCCGATAAGGACTTTGCAGTCCGCACTAGAAGCCCTCACAATTCTCCCTTCGGATCAAGTTTTACCTGTGTTCCACTGCATGAAAATTTTGGTTCCCAAGGTAAGATACAGTGAGACCTGAATTAAAGAATAACCATAAGAACAGACCGTCCGTTTCTGAAATTTGTGATAATTATGTTTTTTTTGTTTTTTTTGTTTTTCCCCTACCAGCTTCTGACCTCCTCTGAATCTCTCTGCGTAGTGTCTTTTGACATGGCTTGGAAAATCATAGCTGCTTTAAGCAACACTCAGCTGATATTCTGGTCTAACTTAAAAGCTTTTGTTCAGTTTGTGTTTGATCCCAAAGTTCTTAGCATCGCTGCAAAAATCAAGGGCCAGGCATATTTCAAAATCAAAGAGGTAACTTTTTTTTTAATTGGGATCAAAAAACATGTAACATGAGATGTGGCATCTTAACCATTTTTAAGTGTACTGTTCAGTAGTGTTAACTATATTTACATAACTGTGACAGACCCCCCAGAACTTTTTCATCTTGTGGAACTGAAGTTCTGTCCCCATTAAGCATCTCTCCTTTCCCCACCCCGCCTTCCAGCCCCTGGCAAGCACCGTTCTACTTTTTTTTTTTTTCTTCAGTACACGGGCCTCTCACTGTTGTGGCCTCTTGCGTTGCGGAGCACAGGCTCCGGACGCGCAGGCTCAGCGGCCATGGCTCACGGGCCCAGCCGCTCCGCGGCATGTGGGATCCTCCCGGACCGGGGCACGAACCCGCGTCCCCTGCATCGGCGGGCGGACCCTCAACCACTGCGCCACCAGGGAAGCCCACCGTTCTACTTTGTTTCTGTGAATCTGATGATCTGAGAAAAAAGAGGGAACTTTTTGCTTTCATTTTAATTTGTATGACGTGTAGCACATGAAGAAGAGAGAGTTATATTTGTAATTTTTACATATTAGATTTGTTGTTATTTACTTATTCAGGCAGTAAATATTCTGAACCTTCTTCAGTGTCATGAGTAAGAACAAAATCTGCTAGATGTAAAGGAGTAGGTGCACAGCGGTAGCCCGTGAACCACATCTGCCTTACAAACATATTTGGTTCATATAATCAAATTAAAATTTTTTGAATTACTTGCCAGCTTTTAAGGATTGGGAAATTTGCATGAAAATCTGTATTTCCTCTTCTCTTGGAAAATTGTATGATCTGGCAACACTGGTCATTCCTACATGACAGCAGTGTCCCGGCGGTCACTGGTCCCTGGCCCATCCAGGTGGGGCACACCCTTTCTGTTGCTCCACTCCAGACCGTGGCTTGATTTCTCCTGGACCCTGAGGGCAAACGTCATGTGCCATTTGTCAGTGCATCCGTGCCGTTGCTTTTCTTGTTCAAGGAAATATTTCTCTGAATATAACCTATCCAGAGGTCTTTCTGGTTTCTGGAGGCATTTGTGTTTACAGTCACTGATACATAGTAGGGAACATAAGGTGATGGAATTACATCGTGCCTCAGATTCACATACACTCCTTATCCAAAGGGGAAGATGGAAAATGAATCCATTTATTACCCTGCTGTCTCTGCGTCCTTTCCTGACCCACGGTACACACTTAGAGAGTGGGGCCTCTTTTGTTTTGAGGAAAGGGAGGCCCCTGGCAAGTGCAAAGAAAACTGAAAATGTCAAGGGTGAGGCGTTTTTTCCCCCTTTCATTCTCTGTCACTCTGGGCAGTTGTTCCTCTGGGATAGTTCTGGGTGAATATCAGTATCAGTACAATTTTATTTATTTTTAGTATTAAGAAATGAAAAATTAGCATTCTGTGATTGGTTAGCATCGTGCAAACAGTAAAGAGTTTTTAATTTTTTAGACTCTATTTATGGTTATGTTGAAACTATCATTTGAAGGCATTCAAGTAACAGTTTTTAGCAACATGAATATTTTTTTCTCTTTTTTGAAAAAACTTAATTGGTCAAAGGATAAAGTAACTATTGTATTTCATTCCAGATTATGTACAGGATAATTGAAATGTCTGCTATAAAAACTGGAGTCTTCAATATATTGATAAGTTATTGCTGCAAATCTTGGATCGTTTCTGCTTCAAATGTGTCCTTATCTACTGCTACAAATTACAGCGAACTTGTCCTTGAGGCGTGTATATTTGGAACAGTGTTTCGGCGTGATCAAAGGTAAAAGATGCCATTATTTCAGCCTCACGTAACTTATATTAAGTGTCTCTTTGGGTAGAATTGTGTCTTTATTTTAAGGCTTTCAGTTAGAAGAATATTGATTAATTTTTAATTTGGGACTTTAATTATTTTCTTCTAAAATTTGTTGTTCTTTGTCACATGTGTTTTATGGAAAGACTTATTCAGGATGTACAGACCTTCATAGAAAACCTTGGGCATGAGTGTGCAGCGAACATGGTTATTGAAAAGTAAGTATGGTGGGTCCTCCATATCTTGATATAAATGTGGCATTCAGAATATTACATATGAGAAACATTCTGTATAAGATATTGAGCCTTCCAAATTGTGTTAGAAATTATATTGCCTTGCTAATGTATTTTCTTCAGATCTGTCACTATTTACTGAAATATGGTAAACTTTAAAAAAATTTAGTGCGGGGCTTCCCTGATGGCGCAGTGCTTGAGAGTCCGCCCGCCGATGCAGGGGACGCGGGTTCGTGCCCCGGGCCAGGAAGATCCCACATGCCGCGGAGCGGCTGGGCCCGTGAGCCATGGCCGCTGAGCCCGCGCGTCCGGAGCCTGTGCTCCGCAACGGGAGAGGCCACAACAGTGAGAGGCCCGCGTACCGCAAAAAAAAAAAAAAATTTAGTGCGAAGTCCAGCATAAATAAGGAAATAACTATGGGGAATATGCAATCCCTGTCCCTCTTCTTTATTTGCGTGGAGGGGTGATCATCAGTGCACATAGTTTTTTTTTTTTTTTTTTTTTGGCTAAAATCCACTATTTAACAAGTCACTATGCTCACGCAAAAATAAAATTACTGTTGGAATAGGCCCTAAAGTTTTGATGTCTGGGATAAGCCTATTCTTATCTAACCGCTGAAATAATTCTTTTGGAGCTTTTTAAAAAGTTTTTATTTTCTCACATAATTTTCAAAACTGTGCATAGGTGTTTATGAAGATAATAAAATGTGTTGTCATGATTCACTTTGATTTTAGAGTTTAGGACAACAAATGACAATTGTGTACAGTTACCACAAAGTGTTTATTATTCTAAGAGTCATAGCGGTGTTTTAAATCTGCCACTCTTCATTAAATATATACATTTTTCATTGTTAATTATTTTAATTTTTTGTTTTCTTGGCTGGTTATAGTATAACAATAAGTGAAATTTTTTTAGTTGACGTTTCCAGAATATTTTGATTTCTACTAGACACATGTTGTTAAATTAAAATGACATTTATTCACATTATAGTCATTTTAATGAACTTGGAAATACTTAATTAACAATTTCAGTGAATTTATTTTTCCCCATTTGGATACTGAAAATGCTGGGATGCTCAGCACACACAGTGAGTGCTTTCTGAGTTTGCCCCTCACCTAGAGTCGTGCACTTACAGTGCACTGTGACGACAGCATCGAGGTGTTGATGTGTGTTCTTGCCCCTGAGCAGGAGGTGTCTGTGGTCCTCTTCCAGGAACAGTGTCATGAGCTGTGATCTGTTTTGTCCACAGATAAGATATTATTGACCCAGTATTGGTAGTGTGTGCCTTGTTTTTCCAGAAGTCTGGGTGAATTTGTGCTCATTCAGACTTTGTGAACAGGATCTCCTGTCGATGTATTTGTTACCGTCCACTGTCTATCCTGATTTAAAATGCATTGTCAGGGGAGGGGGAAGGGTAAGCTGTGACAAAGTGAGAGTGGCATGGACATATATACACTACCAAACGTAAGGTAGATAGCTAGTGGGAAGCAGCCGCGTAGCACAGGGAGATCAGCTCGGTGCTTTGTGACCGCCTGGAGGGGTGGGATAGGGAGGGTGGGAGGGAGGGAGACGCAAGAGGGAAGAGATATGGGGACATATGTATATGTATAACTGATTCACTTTGTTACAAAGCAGAAACTAACACACCATTGTAAAGCAGTTATACCCCAATAAAGATGTTAAAAAAAATAATAATAATAAAATGCATTGTCATTTAATATGAAGCTACTTAATTTTAGAAAACTTCGGAAGGTTTTGATATTTTGGAATTAATATCTAATGTATTTTTTAATTTTGAAAATGTATTCACATAATCTATCATTTTATATTTTTTAGTCCTAAAAGAGAGGACCATTATGTGAGAATTTGTGCTGTCAAATTCCTGTGTTTATTAGATGGCTCAAATATGTCTCATAAGTTGTTTATGGAAGATCTTGCAATCAAGCTATTAGAAAAAGTAAATATGCTTTATTTTACCCTAAAGTATCTTAACTTAGCAGTTCAAGCACTAGCAGTGACGTACCAGAAGTAAACCTGGCAGTTGGCTGAATTTAGACAGCACAGACCATTGAAGCCGGGGAGAGCGCCGCTAATGTAGAAGGACTCTGTGCTGCCGTTGCCTTGTGTCTGGTGATGGCACTGTCCATTTACTGAGGTGCCCCTGTCTTAGTGGTGTTTGTATCGAATTGCAGATCCCATTATTCCAAACTTACACAATCAAGGGGCATTATATTCCCTTGCTAATATACATTCTTCAGATCTGTCACTATTTACTAAAATACGATAAACTTAAAAAAATTTTTAGTGCAAAGTCCACCCCCGTGACCCCATGTCTCCCCCTTAACTGGGCACAAGGAAAGAGAAGTATATTTTCAAGTACTTTTTTTACTACGTAAATTTGTATGGTTCCTTTTCTAATTTTAAAAGCAGATAAGTTTAGACTTCCTGGTGGTCCAGTGTTAAGCCTCCACGCTTCCAATGCAGGGGGCATGGGTTCGATCCCTGGTCAGGGAACTAAGATCCCACATGCTGCGTGGCGTGGCCCAGAAATAAAAATAAATTAATTAATTAAATAAGAATAATAAAACTTTTTTTAAGAAAAAGATAAGTTAAACAAAAGAACGAAATTCATTGTTTTGAAAGGAAACTTGGGAAAAGTATCATAAGTGTCTTTCTTATCCTTCTGCCTTTCAGAGTATAACAGGCTCCTATGCCCAGTTTATACTTTTTAAACTTGAAGTTTTCACTGATTTTACTTTCATTAATCACAAATTCAGTAGGTAATTTAATATTGGTCCCACCCTCTCCCCCACCCCAAGGATGAATTGGTGTCCAAGTCAAGAACTCGATACTATGTGAATTCTCAACAACATAGAGTGAAAAACCGAATGTGGCAGACTCTGCTTGTACTTTTCCCCAGATTCGATCAGGTATGACATTTATTACGTTTGTACCTTTAAGCATAATATTTTCATATGAATAAACTATGTAGTAGAAACTGTCATGTGCTACTTTAAAATTGAGAAAGTCATCTGCTTAAAATTTATACTTTAGTTCTTAAAATTGAAGTTTATTCAGAAGTTTTTTTAATAGAATACTAAGGCATTTAGGTGTTGTAGAAATAAATTGGAAACTGATTACATGGTCCCACTTAATATATTTTTCCCCTCAGTATTTTATTGTAATATTTTAACTGTTTAAAGTCTCATATGCCACGATAAAACTTTAAGCTGTTTTTTTAATAGTGACTATTTCTTAATTAAAATTAGTAACCATTTCAAAGTTGATAAGGAATAGATTTTAATTTTTCCCACCACAGAAGAGAAATCACTGTGTGACATGATAGAGACTAGTGCTGCTAAGGTGGTAGTCATACTGCGACATATAAATGTATCATCACAAAGTGAGAGAGTGGCACTGACATATATACACTATCAAATGTAAAATAGATAGCTAGTGGGAAGCAGCTGCATAGCACGGGGAGATCAGCTCGGTGCTGTGTGACCACCTAGAGGGGTGGGATAGGGAAGGTGGGAGGGAGACGCAAGAGGGAGGGGATATGGGGGTATATGTATACATATAGCTGATTCACTTTCTTATAAAGCAGAAACTAACACACCATTGTAAAGCAATTATACTCCAATAAAGATGTTTAAAGAGTAAATAAATAAATGCACCATCACATCAACGTGTTGTACACCTAAACTTATACATTATATGTCAGTGATATCTCAATAAATTTTTTAAAATTAATAACCATAACAGTTTAATTTGTGTGCTTTATTTTTCTCAGAATTTCTTGAATAGAATTATTGACAAGATTTTCCAGGCTGGTTTCATCAATAATCAAGCATCCATAAAATATTTTATAGAATGGATCATTATATTGATTCTTCATAAATTCCCTCAATTTCTTCCGAAGTTCTGGGACTGTTTTTCTTACGTAAGTAAAGGAGATTTTTCATAATTTTTTTTAATGAAGAAAAGATCTTAGCTATGCTGGGAGATTGTTTCACTTTAGTAGTTTTCTGGCTGTCAGTTGCCCTGCCCCTAATGTACTAATATCCTAAATTGTGTTTTGCAGGATTTGAATTAATTTAGACAGAGACAGAAAGCCCTGGCATTTATCTTGAGTATAGCATAATTTTTATTTGAGCGTTCTTCTATTCCAACAAGACAAAGATGGAAAAGGTTTCTGTTGTTAAGAAGTAAGGGAAATAGGTGCCTTCTATATTTTTATTTACCAAGCAATGTCTTTGTTTGATCTTAGAGATAAGAATGCTGAGGAATTGGGGACTTCCCTGGTAGTCCAGTGGTTAAGACTCCATGCTTCCAATGCAGGGGTGCAGGTTTGATCCCTGGTTGGGGAACGAAGATCCCACATGCTGCAGGGCGCAGCCAAAAAGTAAAAAAACCAAAAAACAGAAAAAAGAATGATGAGGAATTAAATGCATTCCTTACATTTTAAAGAATTTCTTAGTAGGGAAATTTCAAATATAACCAAAGCAGAGAGAGTAGAAGGGAGCCCCTACCACCCAGCCAAAAGCAAGTGTCAGTTCGTTTCCATTCTTACCTCCTCTGTACCCTCACACACACCTCTGACACCTCATCCCCAACGTTCTTATATCTTGAAAATCATTTTTAAGGCATCGATACTGAGATTAGTGATAGAGTTTGCAGTTGCGGGCTTCCTGACAAATAGCAAGTTGTTTCTAAACATCAGTTCTAAATACTTGCCTCGAGTATTTTCTGCTGGTTCCCAAGTTCACCCTTCCCTCTCTGGGTAAATGACCTTGCCTTCTGTGTGTGAAAAGCATCTCTTTCTGTTTCTTCCTTTCTGTTTCAGGGGGAGAAACTTGTTCTCTCTTGCTCATCTGTATCTGCGTCCTTATGTGCCCTGAGTTCTTCACTCTTATTCTGTTGACTTTTCCTCCATCCTGCCGTCGTCCTAGTGTCTTCTTTTCCTTCTATTAAACTTGGAGAGTATCTTTGCCTTTCTCTCTTGCTCTTCTTAAACCACTGGGCTCTGCCGCATCTTCAGAAGTCGCACGTTGAGGGCTTCATGTGCAGCTACAAACAGCCTTGTCTTTTTCTTCATCTTCCTTACTGCCATGCAGCCTTTCTCGGTGACTGTTGCTTTTTTTCTCCAGCTGACTGTACACTGTGGTGGTCCCTTCTCCAGTCCCTTGTCCTTCTCTTCCTATACTCCCTTGGCTTTATACACCCTGTCTCTGCTGGTTCGCTGCATCCCAGCCACCTCCTAGGCCCTCTAACATAATCACTTCAAACTTCATCCTGTATAACACGAGATTGATGAGCGTGTCTTTGCCTGAAATCCCTGACACACACACACACACACACACACACACACACACACACACACACACACACTCACTCACTCACTCACTCACTCTCACTCACTCTCACTCACTCACTCACTCACTCACTCACTGTCCCAGGCTCCTCTCCTGAAACCTGGGTGTTACGATAAGCATGGTGGCATCGTCTTCACAGTGATCCTGAAAAGTAGGTTGGAATTTTTACATTTTACTTACTGAAAAAAACTGAAGTCCAGAGAGATTAAGTAACTTGTCACACCACTAAGAAATGACAAAGCTCTAATTCAGGTGTCTGTTTCCTTTCAGAAGCCGCGTTCGTCTTCACTGTTCCAAGGTTCCTCTCCTGGCTCTTCCTCCTTCTCTTCATGTCCATAGAATTAAGAAACATACTTTGACATTTTTTCCTTGCATTGCTTCTCAGGCCTGTGGCTTTATTAATCTTGTTTGATTTGTCTGCTCTCAAGCGGGTGGGCGCTGCCTCAGAAATTCTCACGGAAGGCCCCTGGCTCTGGTGTGCTTCCAGCCCCCCCGACTCTCCTGTCCTTGGTCAAGCCACCAGTTCCGTCCCGTTTCTCCACTCTGCTCAGTCTCTCATTTTCCATAAAGAGCTCTCAGAGCTGGTATATTCTCTTCACATCTTTTCCTCGTGGACATCAGGGTTTTTCACTGTAAGCAAGTAAAACGTTTGCTGATTGAATCAAAGGGATGGAAAACAGACAGCAGAGATGGGGGAAGTGAGGTAGCTTACACAATGCCCAGAGAGCTGCAGAATCCAGCTTGGAAAATAGGCAGGAACAAGGTGGGGCTCAGTGGTTTCCAGAACTGTAGCCACAGGCGCGCCGTAGAGCAGGTCCACCAGGGACATTGCTTCACCCCACTGGACGCCTGGCGCCATCACGGCAGTGCTGCAGCCTTGGCCAGCCGTCCGCCTGCCGCCTGCATGGAGTGGGTTCTCTGTGGGCTCTGCCTCTCTGGGTAACGAGTTCTCAACCCAGCATTCAGGGCAGACGTCTCCGGATCCAGGTCAGGTGACTTCTCTTAGCTGCAGGGAGGCTGGGGAAATGAATGAATGGCATTTCCAGCTTCTCAGGAGACCTATAAGGTGAAGAATTCCCTGAACTGGGAAGGGGATTCAGAATAGATACCCCCAAACAGGCAGTGTCCACTACACCCTTTTCCTCCTTTATTTGAAGCAGATGACCTTAGCTGTTATGTTTCCGAGAAAATAGCAGTCATCGCATAGGAATACCCTTACCTTCTCAAGAGCAGTCACGCAAATAATAATACAGGGTTGGCCGGAAAGTTCATTCAGGTTCTGCTGTAACATCTTCTGGAAAAACCCGAACGAACTTTTCGGCCAACCCAATACCTTGTCCATATCCACCCAGGACTCTTCCCTCCTATATCATGAAGGACCTGAATCTGCTGTTGGGGTAATTCCTCCGCTTGTTCTCCGGCTTCTCTTCCTGTCTGCCTTCTCGGGAACCTTAGCCCTCGGTCTCTCTCCTATACCTAGCGTCCCCTTCTTAACCAGGTGGTTTCTCATCCATTGTTACGGGTGTTTACACTGAGCTGCTCCTATAGAGGACGCCTATAATCACCTATCTCCCTACCCTGTCAGAGCCAGACTTGCTGAAAGGAGTGTGTGTATGCCACAGTTTCGGGGTTTTCATGTTCTCCTCGCCCACAGTTCAGTCCAGCGGATCCACCTCCAGCTCGGTCACTTCTCAGACGACCCTTCGCCAGGGTCAGTGGTCAGCCTCCTGCTTCCCCCCATCCGTCCATGCTGCAGACGACCTCCTTGTTCCTGGTTCAGTAACACACTTCCCTGGTTCCCCCTGCCCCTCTGTTTCCTCTTTTCTGTGTCCTTTCTGGGCATTCCCTTCCCTGCCTAGCTGTTAAATGTTAGTGCCTCTCAAGGCTGGGCTGCCTTCTTAATTTCTCCTTGTTTTATAGTCAGTTTTATCTGGGTCATGGATTCACTTATTATCTGATGTGAATGACCCAATAATTTCTCTCTCTCTCTTCCAGCCATCTTCCCCTAAGTGCCCCATCAGGCTGACTGCAGCCACGCCCGGCCTGGCCACGTTTGATGGAGCACAGCCATGCCCGTTCATATATCAGTACATATCGTTCATGGCTGTGTTTGAGCTAAAAGGACAGAGTCAAGTGTTTGCAGCAGACTGTATGGACCTCATGGCTGTATTTTTATTCACTGTTTGGTCCTTTACAGAAAGCTTTGCTGACCCCCGCTGCAGACATTCTTCTTGAATGTCTATAAATCATCTAAAACTTAGATGTCTGACACCAGGCGCCTTATATTTGCCCCAAACTTGATCTTTTTCTACTATTGTAAACAGCACCACTGTCTATACAGCTGCACAAAGCAGGGAACTCAGCGCTTTTCCTGACTCTGGACCAGATCCTGTCGCTCTTACCTCCTGAGTGTTTCTCAGTCACCATCTCCCGTCTCTGCGTTTGGCCTTGGTCCAGGCTGCATTGTCCACTGCACTGCTCCCCTCGGTGAACCACCTGCGTCCCCTCTTCCTCCCTTTCGATCTCCTCTCCACACCGAGGCCAGAGCAGGTTCTTCAAAATGAAAATGTGATCAGGTCGTCCACTTTCTTAAAACACTGCTCTCAGAACAAAGACCGAAGCTGTGCGTGGCCTGCAGGTCTCACGTGGCCTGTGCCCTCCTCCCCGTCCAGTCCGTGTGCCCCACGTTCCCACCTCTGCACTCGTGGATGCATGGATGGGCTCAGTTTTCTGTTGCTGGAACATTCCAAAGCCCAGGGGTGTGAACAACAACCCTCTGCTATTTTTCCTGCTTCTGGATTGACTGGACCAGGCTGGGCTGGGACCTGCGAACGACTTCTTCGGCCACGTGCTTGTCACCTTGGCTGCAGTAGTGGGGACAGCCGCGGTGCCGGGCACCACTGGTTCTAAAGCTCTGTCGGTGGTCGCTCAGGGTGCCGAGGACGAGCGTTCCAGGAGGACGCATCCTGGTGAACCCTCGCGTTCCCAGCCTCTGATCGCGTGCTGCTTATTGGCCAGGGCAGATGGCGTGAGCAAGCCCCCCAGCTGGCGGGGCCCGCGTTAGGGCCTGATTACCGGACAGCTTGCCTCATGGGGGCCCCTATCTGGCCGAGCACCACCCTGACCTTTTCTGTTCTCTCTGCCTGCATAACTGCTGCTCTTCCTTCAGATCGCAGTTCATGTGTCATTTGTGTCATTTCTTTTTTTCTTTTTTTTCTTTTTTTTTTTTTTTTGCGGTACGCGGGCCTCTCACTGCTGTGGCCTCTCCCGTTGCGGAGCACAGGCTGCGGACGCGCAGGCTCAGCGGCCACGGCTCACGGGCCCAGCCGCTCCGCGGCACGTGGGATCTTCCCGGACCGGGGCACGAACCCGCGTCCCCTGCATCGGCAGGCGGACCCCCAACCACAGCGCCACCAGGGAAGCGCTCTTGAGGCCTTTTGTAAGCAGCTGCAGGGCCCCATTTAACCTCTGCTGCTCCCTCCCGCACGGGGGCCTTTGCCTCCCGCTTGCCTGTCTTGGTTCGTCTTGGTCTTCTGTTCCCCCTCCTTCCTGTTCCCCTGCCCACCCCCGCTTTCTACAGCCAGCCCTTGTCTCCGTGCAGTGAGCTCACCCTGGTCTCCCCCAGTTACTCCTCGCCTGAGCGGTTAGCGGGCGTGGGTCTGATGAGTGTTGTGCGCGGGGGCATCTGGCTCTGGGATGTTCCTGTGCTTTCTCGCTTCTCCTCTCTTCCCACCCAGGCCGTGGCTGCGTCGGGGAAGAGCCGGCCTCATGGCCCGGGCCCCAAGCGTCCAGCCCGGTGCCTTGATGTGCTCGGGCTCGCAGCAGCCTTGAATGACTGTTTCGTGTATCTGATTTATTTTCAGGCTGAAGAAAACCTTAAAACAAGCATTTGTACGTTTTTATCAGTTTTGTCGCATTTGGACATCATTACTGAAAATATTCCAGAGAAGGTAGGTTTATATTGTTTATGAGAAGAGTTCAGACTTGACTATCAAAATAGAACTTATACATTTGTGCTGTTTTCATTTAGAGTAGTCCTTGTGTGTTTTAGTTTCTCCCCTTCCCTTCCACTCCCCTCCTAATGGCACACGCACTTAGACACAAATGCACAATAAGGTGTTACCCACGGGCACACACACACTGAGATAGCGCCTGAGCCCATGTTAAATCTCTAGACAAATTAATGGGCAACTTTTAATGATAGGATGCTTAACTTTATACAAGATTATTTAAATAAGACTTCCCTTATTGCATTTAACTGTTCCTTGGCTGGCAGAGTTATTTAACAAATGCTTGTACAAAGAAACTCATGGTCAGAGTATTAAAAGCCATTGTGTTATTGAAGGTTTGTATAAAATGACCGTCATTATTCAGAGTGTGAAAGCCAGTTCTTCATCTTTCTCAGGGTTAAAGCATCTTCCCTAGATAAGTAGAGATCTTAGCTAATTCTGGTTAATCACTATGGCAACTGCGGAGAATTCAGGAAAACCTGCCGGTAAAGATCTAGAGCAAGATTCTTCTATATTATTGAATCTACATGGAGTGTACTTATATGTCGTGAACTCTGGGAGAAACTTAACACAGTCGACCCTCGGTCAACACAGGAGTTGGGAGTACCGACCCTCTGCGCAGTGGGAAATCCACACGTAACTTTACAGTCACCGTAATACAAGGTTCCTCATCTGTATCTGCGGATTCAACCACCCGAGGATCACGTAGCACTGTAGTACGTCTTTAGTGAAAAAAATCCACGTATAAATGTGGACCCGCACAGTTCAAACCCCTGTTGTTCAATAGTCAGCTGTCTGAAATAAATGTTGTTTAGTGTTGAAAGTGAGGTAAAAATATTGGGGGGATAGGCTTCCTAGAACTTTTCAAAGTGTTGTCTTTAAGCACAGTAACAGTCAGATTTCGTTGTTAACCTATTTCATCAATCCTAGGAACAGGTCTTTCTTCCCACCACATTTTAACCTCCAAAACCATGATAATACCTTAAAATTGACGGTGTGTTACAGTGTCTGTCAGCCAGATGGCAGTGGGTTAGTTATAGTTATGTGAAAACTTGTGTTAACACCTTCTGGTAAGAGTTAAGAAAGCTCTAGCATCAGGTAATAGCAGTTGTTATCTTTCTGTTTTAAATATGTGCAGGGAAGAGATCTGCTTACAATCTGTTGAGAGAAGTAAGATAGACAAGAAACTGTACTATTGCAGGGCTCTTAGCTTGGTGCGGCCCAGTAACCTTTACAGATGAGCCGTTTGGTAGGAGCATTAAGGTAGCTCCCGTTATTAAAAGTTTGAGTCCATCTGGTTTCCACATTAATACATGTCACTTCCTTTGCCTTTCAATATCTGTTGAACTGTGTGGTTTTAGAAATCAGGGATTATCACTGCATAAAATCTCCTGGCTGTGAAGGTGAAGAACTCTGTGAATTCACAGGAAAAGACTACAGGGAAGTTTAAACTCTTACTGTTTTTCTCCCCACTTCTTAATTTTCCTGCCACCACTCAGTGCTGTGTGGGTCCAAGGTCACTATTAAGGGAAACACAGTAGTTCAGACCAGGAGAAAACAGCATTTTATGAGGTACGTTGCTCACGTTCACTTAATATTTCTAACTTTTTCAGCCCATGGTAAGGTCGTAAGTGATGGAGACTTCTTTAGAACACTGGTCATACAATGGTTAGCATGAAAGTGCTTCATTCAGATTAACCTAGGGACTGGAGTATATGGGCAAGAACGTGTGTGGCAGCACGTGGCAGATAAAAAACTAGAGAGCTGCGAAGATACTTTCCTTCCTGAGGAAATCACTCCTGCCAGCGTATCTGTCTGAGAATGACAACGCAAAACCAGTGAAATAAGATTTTACTTTGTAGCATTTTTGTCACCTGTACTCCTTGTTCTTGTTCATACAGTCAAGGGTAAAATGGTCCATGTTTACATCTGAAGAATGTTTCTCCTTTTCAGAAACTAATTCTGAAGCAAGCCCTTATTATCGTACTGCACTGGTGTTTTAATCACAATTTTAGCGTTCGACTGTACGCCTTGGTTGCTCTTAAGAAAATCTGGAGCATGTGTAAGACATTGCACGTTGAAGAACTTGATGCTTTGACTTCCATTATTGAATCCAGTCTGAATCAAGTGGAAAACATGCATGGAGCAGGGTAAGCAGGCCTTGTCCCCTTACGCCTCGGTCCAGCATTGTGTGCAGAGAGGGCATAGAGGGTGCCCAGCTTTTAGCAGCTTCTGTTTAGCCCATCACGCTGCAGTGCACAGAGCTCAGATTAAGCAGCATTTAAGCAGCTCACTATTTGATGTGCAGTTTAATTACAGTTCTAAGTGCTGTCAGCTCCGTCATTGACCTTTTTCTTTTCTTTTTCTTTTTTTGCTCTTTAATCCTTGATCTTTAATTTAGGGACCTCTAGATGTTTCTCTTCAGCGTAGCCAAATGTTTTCATCCTCTGTTGTCAAAGAACTGCTGAGAAGCAGCATGACCTGACTCTAAAGCCATGCTCATAACCGCTCAGATGTCCGGGTTAAAGCTGGAAGCTCTTGCCTTTTTCTTTTCTAAGAGAACTTCTCTATCCCCCAAACAAAATCCTACTCAGATGCTCAATATCAAACAGATACAACACAGCTGCTGTGATGGAGTAGGTCGGGGTGCACGACTCAATAGCAAAACCCAGGGGGATGGGAGCTCGGACGCATATTGGGGTGCTGTCCTTTGAAGAGACCCTTGAAAGCCAAGGGGCAGAGAAGACAGGTGCATAAGGAGGGGCCAGTCTCTCATCTCAGGGCTGCTCTTCTCACCCCGCTGATGTTGAGGCCCAGCCGGCAGTGACAGGAGGGGCTGGGAACTCAGGGGTGGAGAAGGTACCGTTGGCCAGAGCAGGAGAATGATCTTGCCGGGAAGGCGTCTTGAAATTGCTGCTTAGCTTTTGGGTTGTTGGTCATGAATTTAAACTGAAACCTGCCGGTGGCCATGTTTTGTAATTTTTATTCCTCCCTCTTTTGCCTTCTAAAACTTGACAGATTTTTGGGTTTTGTTGTTTGTATGTATCTAAGTATTTAAAACCTATTACTTTCATTTGGCTTACGGAAGTTGGTACAGTTTGGCTGCGTGTCGTGAATCTTCAGGGTAGAAAACGTGACTTACGTGGACTTCCTGGCAGTCCCGAGGTTAAGACTCCGCGCTTCCACTGCAGTGGGCAGTCCCTGGTCGGGGAACTGAGATCCCACATGCTGCGCGGCGCAGCCAAAAACAAAAAAGTAACTTATGTAACGATTTTCTCTCCTGGCGGGGGGGGGGGGGGGGGAGCATTTATGGCCAGAGAGAGACATAAGGATCCCAGCCTAGATTTCTTACGTGGTTCCCTTTTAGAATACTTTTTCCCCAAGCAAGTGAGTTGTACCTGTGGCAGCTGTTCCTGTGAGATTTTCCCATCGTTGTCTGTTGACTGACGACTGGACTGTCTCTTCTTTGATGGAGTGGAGACCTGAGTTGCATTCTTGTTGAGTCATTGTTTGACAGTGGGACTGTGAGAGAGTTATTTCTTTGTCTGTCCTTGAGTTTCACTTCAAAATGTCAGATTTAGGGTCAGCTTTTAAGGACGCGGATCCTGGAGATAGGGGTTATAAATCTTGGGATAAAATTCACAAGATTGTCCGTTCATTCTAAATTCTGCAGTGCCTCTTTAAGAGAGCTACTTGGTTTTCCCCCTTACCGGAGTGGGTTCACTAGTCTGTACCTCACATGTATCTTTAACACTTAGGAACGCAAAGAAGAATTGGCAACGGATCCAGGAGCATTTCTTTTTTGCAGCGTTCCACCCACTTAAGGACTACTGTCTGGAGGTGAGCAGAGGGTCTCATTTGCGAACGACTCTCTTCCGTATCCTTAGTCCCGGTGCTTCCTTTCTGCCGCGGTTGTTGAAGGTGTAATGAGGTTAATTGTCCTTACAACACCGCCTTCACGGTCGTAAAGTGCTCCGTGTAATTTTGTCACTTCGTGCAGACGGCTGCTTGCGCTTCACTCTTCAGCAGTGAAAACTGGCTCGTCATTTTCACTTTCTGTTTCTCAGGCAGTGTCTGGCTTGTAAACACTGGAAGGGGGAATATTTAACTCTGAACAGAAATCTGTTCTGACATTAAAAGGAAATGAGTGAGAACATTTGTGCAGGTGAGATTTGTTGTAACGAACGAAGCCCATTGTTATGAAAGAGCGGGAAGATCTACTCTTTTGTTAAGTGCCTATTTTAGGTTCTGGATGGCTGGGATTGTATAGCAAATGACCCACCATCTCAGTGATCCTAACAGAACGTGCTTATATAATTTCTTTAAACTTATTACAGTTAGCATGTGAATTAATTAATATACAGATTATTAAAATTTGTACATATGATATTACTTTCTCCCTTTTTCGACTACAGTTACAGTGTTCTGCCTTGGAATTTAAAACATGTGATCTAGGAACCTGGAAGTATCAGAAACTTTAGCTACCATATGCATAAGCAGTTTTTTGTTGTTGTTGGGTTGTGTGTGTGTGTGTGTGTGTGTGTGTGTGTGTGTGTGTGGATTACTAATAAGCTGGACTTTAAAAAAAAAATACAGATCTATATGTTGTGAGATAGTCATCATAGAACATTATTGTGTACTTTGTTGCTTCACTGCAAAAATTATTTAGGATTTTTCAAATACTTTAACGTGCTCTGTTCTGTGTCCTTTAGCGCCCAGAATGCTTTGTTTGACATCTTTCTGAAGGACTCTTAATAACTCTCTAGTGCTAAGTCAGCCTTTTCTATTCAGTTCTCCAGCAGGAGTAAGTCCCTTGCTTCCACTTTTCCTTCATCCTGACTTTGACTGCCTCACCCTCATATGTTTTATATATTTTATTCTCTATTAATTATACGAACCATAACTGTACATATCAATACAATAATGGCACACAAGAACTCTGTTTCTCTGTACATTTGGAGCTATACTTGGTACCTACTTAATAAACAGTTGCATTCATTATGCCAGTTTCAATTTGCACAAATATTGCTAATAAAGAGAAAACCATATTCATTCTAAAAACTTTTATGAAGACTTGGACATTGTTATAAGTTTATTACTTTATTTCTAAATTGCCTACCGTGCTTCTGACTCCTATGTGCCTTTTCACATTTGAGGGTTATCTGGATCTCAGTTTTCTTGTCATAGGTAAGAAAAGGGAAGGAGGATTGTCATGTAGTGACTGAATAACTGCTGTTCACAGTGGTGTCACACTGTGCAGTTTACAAATCACTTTCATGTGCTCTTTTAACCTGATTTTACCCTCATTTTACCAATGAGGAAGTTGAAGCTGAGAGAGGCTAATGACTTGTCTAACGTCACACAGCTAAGATACAGTCGAGGCAAAATCTAGATTCTAAATTTGTATATTGGCAGCGAGAGTAAAGATCTGGCATCACAAGAGCTTGAACTTGATTGCTTATGGAGGTGTCTGGCTGTCAATAAATAGCATTTGTCCAAATGTTGTCCAACATTAATGCTGATTAATTCCAAAACACTTCTTGCTTGTATTAAGAGCATGGTGTATATTATGTTACATACAGTTAGAAATACTGGAGTGGAAGATCTGCCGGCTCTCAAGGATTTCCTAAATTAATCCCTTAATTTCTTAGAGAAGATAAGAAGTATAGATAGACAATTGCTACAAGATATAAATGAAAGTATGTAATTTGATCAGATGTGGTAGTTTGGGAGAACACATCAGTAATAATAATTAAGTTGTACTTTAAACATGTTATCGTGTATTTCTTTGTTATATTTAAGGGGAAAACAATTAGATTTTTACAATTCTCCTTTCAGACCATATTTTACATCCTTCCACGCCTTTCCGGCCTTGTTGAGGACGAATGGATCGCCATTGGTAAATTTACCAGGTTCACTGACATTCCTTTAGATGCAAGATTTCAGTGGTACCTTTCTCCAACTCAACTCTGTGAACTAAAACCAGGTGACTGGTCCCAGCAGGACATAGGTAAGAAAAACTTGTTTTACTTTTGCTCCCTGTTGCTTTGGTCAGGGTCACTGATTGACGTTACTTAGAATAGGTGGTTGATAAGCACCACTTTTTCATTGATGTGGTGAATTCTGCTCCACTTAGAGAAAAGACAGAAAGCGTGGTGTCACTCTGACTAGTACTTTCTGTTGACCTTGGCTTTGCTCTTAATAGCCAGAGAGAGCTTGATCTGCTTTACTATATAAAGCTAAAGGCTTCTGTCTTCTTTGAAGTATTGATAATTAATATTCATTGCTCTTCTACTATATATTTCTGAAAAAATATAGATATAAAAAAGGGCCAAATTAAGAAATCTCTTTTCTTGTCCTATTTGGGAGTGAAGCAGAGCTCTGCATTCCCTGCTCCGTCTGGCTGAACATCACTCATCTCTTACCCCTCTTTTCCCTATGGCTCCAGCCCTCCTTTCACGTGCCCCCGCCCCCATCCTTCCCTGCAGCTTTCTCAAGGAGCCCCCCCGCCCTTTCCCTCTGTTGCTTCCCGTCCTCCTCCTTCCCTTCACAATCCAGCTGCCCCCAAAAACCGGGGATCAAGTCCCCCCCACCACCACCCATTTTTAAAATCACAGCTAACCTTAAGAGATGTGTAGTAGTGATCTGCATTCTCAGCATTTCTGTCACTCACATTTTGTCCTCCTTCTGGCTTCCCCAGCCCATAAGCATCATGAAAACTTCTTTCAGGAAAGCAGAAATTGTCTTTGTCTGCTTCTTTACAAAATCTAAACAGACGCTCTTTTCTTACCATACCTGACCCTATGTAGCATTTATTTGCCCATTTCTTGCTCTCCTGATTTTTCTCCTCAGTCTGACTTTTCTCACTCTCCTTTGAGTTCCCCTCCCTCGTCCCTTGTATTTATAGTTCTCTCGAATCTTAGTGTTTTCGGGAATCCCTTGGACATCATGTTAAAGGTGCCGATTCTTGGGTCCCACCCTTAGAGTTTTGTCTGGAGGAGTGTTCTGGGAAAGTGCATTTTTTTATCAAATACTCTAGGTGGTTCATTTTAAGACTGTCACCTTAAATTCATTTACTGGGTTAACAAAGATTCACTGGTTGCCCCCTGTGTGCTGAACAAAAGACAAAGGCCCTGCCCTCAGGGCGCTTACATTCCTCCAGGGGGACAACCCTAAACAAACAGATAAGATGTCAGGTAGTGTGGAGAAAATAAAGCAGAGTAAAGAGTGTGAGAGAGGATTAAAAAGACCTTTTTAAGGAGTTGACATGGAGCAGAGGCTCCATGAAGTGACAGCAAGTCAGGCAAAGCCTGGGGAAGAGCAAATGTGGATTTGGGGGCAAAAGACAGCGACGGGAGCCTTCTCGGGGCGGAGGGGCCGGCCTGGCCGGGAGGGGAAGAGAGGGGAGCCGCACATCTGCACGTCTTGCCTGACTTCTGCCGCGGCGTGAGTGGGGCAGAGAAGTGGGGAGTTACTGGATGGGGAGAAGGCTACAGAGGTCTTTCTGTTTGTTTCGTTTGTTTTGGGTAAAGAGGGGGATATTGCAACAGGGTTTCTCCGCTGAGACGTGAATGCTAAACGCTTTCATTGGCCTGGTTTTCTTCTCATTCTCTTTGTTCTCCCTGCACATTTTTGTTAATTTCCACAACTGGAAACCACCACCTATGTAACTGCAGCTTCCAGATCTTTCTCTCTGGCCAGCCTCCTTCCTGAGCCTTCTAGACGCTTACACTAGCTCATCTATAAGCTCCTTAAACTCAGTATCCAAATCCACGGTACCCTTCTGCCACGTTACCTTTCTGCCCAGACGCGCCTCTTCTAATTCCCGTCCTATCAGTGGTCTCACAGGAGTCATTCTTCTGGGGTCTTCTAGCCACATCCGTCCGCTAACAGATCTTGGCGATTCTGCCCTTCCTCTTCAGCCCCTCTTGCAGAGACTGTTTCTGTCTTTGCTGGGCTAGTGTGAAAGCCTCTCGGTGGTTTTCCCTGCCCACTTATCCTCCACATCATTTTTAAGAGGGGTTTTTTCTGCAACACAAAACCAGTACTGTTACCCCCCTTCTTAAAACCCCCTCCTGTCTGTAGAATAAATTCTCTATCATTTTATACACAAAACCCTAACGACCTGGCCTGAGTCACGTCCCTCCCTCCACTGCAGGCTGTGAGCGACGCTAAGGCACCGCCGCTGGCTGCCTGAGTCCCTGTCCTTCCGCGCCCTGTCTGCCCCGCGCTTCCCACACGCTCTCCTTTGCAGACTCTTACACTCCCTTCCCAGAGCCCTCCTGCGTCTTGCTCTTTTGCCCCTCCCTCCCCCAGACATTAGCAGCTCCTGTCTGTGTGGGCACACCCTCAGTATAGTACTGTGTTGTGGTTCCCTGCGTGTCTCTCCCCTCCCCAGTAACCTAAGTGCCCCCGTTTGCTCAGTCAGGTCTGGAGTGGGAAGGAGAGCCTGGAAGGAGAGTCTCAGTCCTGAACTAGAGATCACAACGCACATTAGGTCAATGACACCCGTGTACTCACGGCAGTAGCCAAGAGATAACTGCTCCAAAGAACAGTCCTCGTTTTTAGAAAAGGTCCCCCAAGTACTTGGAAAATAATTTAAGATAAAGACTGTTGATGTTGTTTTCCGGCATACAGTATTCCTACAGAAAATTCCAATCTAATAACACCACTGTTTGTAAGATATGCCATTATTTTATGTAACTCTAAGAAAAAAATGCTGCCAAACCCATGATACCCTTATGGATTCTAAGATGCTTCCCAATTTGGGGTATGCTAAAATGGAAAAAATGTGCATCTTTGATTTTCATGAAATATTGTCGTATTTTGGTTAGCAGGGTAGAATTTGAACATTTTAAACTGTTACTGAAAATGACAGTTGTATCTGAATCCAAGTAAAGTTCTTCAGTCAATGAATCTCATTCTAAACTATCATTTTTAAGCTCTTAAAAAAGTATATATGCATGTAAATCAACAGAGAGGGAGATTTATATTTTCTTTTTCTTTCCCAGGTTCTCACTCAGGCGAAGCAGATAACGAGTCAGAGTGGAGTGATGTTCAGAAGAAGATTATCCCATGGAGAAACAATGTTCCCGACTTAGACCTGGAGCTGGTATTTCAGGATCGTGCGGCCAAACTTGGGAAGTCACTCAGCAGACTGATTGTAGTGGCCTCACTCGTTGACAAACCAACCAACTTAGGAGGTAAAATTAGAGTTTCCACTGGGCTTGCTTAACATCTTCTGATCCTGAAAATTTGTAATTGACCCAGTGCCATTTGTGGCCTCTCTTCCACATTTCCCCCTCTCCGGGAGCTTCAGAGGAATGCCTGGGACCTAGTGAACTTGGCCTTAGACTGGCGGCAGTAACCCCGGCTTGTCATGTGCAGGGCTGTGCCGGACCTGTGAGGTGTTCGGGGCCTCGGTGCTCGTGGTTGGCAGCCTTCAGTGCACCAGAGACAAGCAGTTTCAGCACCTCAGCGTTTCAGCAGAACAGTGGCTTCCTTTAGTGGAGGTGGGCGCAAAGTGCTGTATTATTAAAATTTTCATTTGCTAGACTCTCTTGTAGTACTCTGTCTTCACGTTATCAACCCTTTTGCAGTAGTCCAGCCTTGGACAGCTTAAAAATAATACTGAAAAGTAAAATATAGCCCACTCTGTTCTCCTGTTCTTACTGTCTTTCACACTGTTGTATTTTTAGAAATCAATAATGTAGAATTCTTTTCAGTAAAATGTGTCCTGTTATAAGTCACTCTCGTTTGATAAATTTATGAGATGTTGGGAGCGTTCTCTTTTATAGTGTATAATTCTGTCCTTTTCCTTTTAACAAATTTCAGTTTCATGAAAGTGTTTTTTTCTTTAACTGATTTTACCCCCAGGAGGGCTGTAAATGAATGATTTAATATTCTGCTCTTTGTAAACGAATATTAAGGTAAAACCACCTCAGCTGACCGATTATCTGCAACAGAAAAAAGCAGAAGGTTACACCATCGTGGGTGTGGAACAGACGGTGAAAAGTTTAGACCTAACCCAGTACTGCTTCCCTGAGAAGTCTCTACTCTTGTTGGGGTAAGAACACTGTCTCGAGAGTCAGTCTGGAAAACGTTTCAGAAGGTTTACAGTTTTACCTGGACTCTTGATCATACACCTGTACCTGGCTTTTGACTTGCAAGGTTTATGGAAAGCCCCCCTAAGTTTTCGTTTTATTTCACCCGTTTGGGATGGTCAGGTGAACACAGAATTGACCCATAAACCCTCTTGTTACGCTCTTCTTTATTTCCCCGGTACCATAGACTTGTGTCATTTTGTTAACCTGTCTCTTCCAGTAACATCCAGGATATCTGAGAAAAAAACTGTTTATTATAAGAAAACTAACCGTTCTTCTCCCATTTTTCTGAATCAGAAATGAACGGGAAGGAATTCCAGCAAATCTGATCCAGCAACTGGACGTGTGTGTGGAAATTCCTCAACAGGGCATCATCCGCTCCCTCAACGTCCACGTGAGTGGAGCTCTGCTCATCTGGGAATACACCAGGCAGCAGCTGCTAAAGCAGGGGGACCCTGGGTCCTGAAGCTCGGGCCTTGTCTGAGACGAGTTATCAAGTTATCGAGTTATCTGTCGGTGCTGTTGAAACATTGTTTTAGAACTATTTGGACTGATGAGATAGATTCTGAAATCTGGTGGGATAATTTGCATTTCTTTATTTGCAGTTTAATGCCAAAACTTTGTCATGTGCCTTAACTATATTGCTGTATGTCGTCCCCTTTAATAAACCTTTCTTAAAGCTTAGTTGTGTTGCTTCTTTAATAAAATATTTTAAGCAACTGTGGAAATAAAACAATGTATTTTAAAAAGATCATTTCTTTCCTAGAAACTAGAATTGTCAGAAATGTGGATCATGGTAGGAGAAAGGCAGAATTAGGGCAGCTCTGATTATCTGTGAATACCGCACCCCTGTCAAGAGCGAGCGCAGGGCAGGGCAGGGGGTGGGGGGGGGGGGCAAAGCTTCAGCATGAGGAGGAGTCATTGGCCTCTTTCTGCTGATTTGTATCTACTTCTGCGCAGGGAGGAAACATGCTTGGCAAGGTGCCAAACCAGCTTCCCTGTGAAGTTCATAACTTATTTTGAAAGCCATAAATTAGGCCATAATCGTTCATATGAAATTTTTAGGAAATTTTCATATGCCACCTTCGCTCGGGGTTCAAATAGTGATTAGAAATAGTCTACCTTCTGACGGTTGTCAACATGGACCCAAAGGAGGTGACTTACCCTTGCACATCGTTACCAGTAGTGAGAATGGAACCCACGAGGGTTGATGTACTGTTTCTGTTCTTCTGAGGTTTTTTTGGTTTGATATTAGGATTACTTTATTATTTAATGGTAACTGTCACCATCCAGCAATGCACTTCAATCATGTCTGGGTCCCTTTTTAGTAATAATTAAGTAAGTATCAGAGTTCATTACCTGTTGTTATGTACTTTTTTCTTCTGTAGCTTTATTTATTTATTTATTTATTTTTTTTACTCTATAATATCACTTATACGTAGACTCTAAAAAATAATACAAATGGATCTATATGCAAAACCGAAACAGACTCACAGACACACACACACAAAAAACTTAGTGGTTACCAAAGGGGACAAGGAAGGGGGGAGGGCCAAGTTAGGGGTATGGGATTAACAGAGACAAGCTACTATATATAAAATAGATAAGCAACAAGGATATACTGTATAGCACAGTGAACTATACCCAGTATCTTGAAATAACCTATAATGGAATATAATCTGTAAAAACACTGAATCACTATGCTGTACACCTGCAACTAACACAATACTGTAGCTTCAATTTTTAAAAAAAGAAAAGAAAATGAATACAAAGAACTTTCATTTAAATAAAATAGCCAAGACTATACAGACATGTAGAGGAAGAAATGTAGAGAATAATTAGAATTAGGTGGGGGTTTTCCACCCATTATATCATAAAGCAAATTTTGTACTCATTCTTCATTCCACTTTGGAGGCTCAAGTCAGAATTAAAATAGAGTCAATTTGTTGCTGGTCATTTTACATTAGCTCTTTGTTGTTACTATAAGAATAATACATTCTCATGAGGAAAAAATTTAAAGTCTGGTGAAGGATGGAGAGGGGACAGTAAAAGTGGATGCCACACAAATCCAGGGTAGAATATTCAGTGGTGGGACTGAATAGAATTATATCATTTGGAAGCCCCAGAACAACATTTCTCCTCCTCCCTCTTTATACTTCAGGTACAGTAATCCACCCCCATCACCTGGGACAGAGACGGAAATAGGAACAAAGTGATAAGGTGACTTTCTCGCAGTCTCACACATCAGTTGGCTTCAAAAATCAGACTAGCGTAATAAGAGTCAGCTTGATTTCCAGACAGAAGGATCTGAACATCCTCGGTTCAGC